GCTGGCTGCAGGCAGAGTCGCTGCCGCCCCGGCCGCCGCTGGCTCCAGTCCGCCGCCATTATTCTTTGTTCGCTGCGAGCGGCGGCGATGTTGTGGGGCTCGGGCGGAGGCTCCATCTTTACCGCGGCCCCTCCTGCGAGGGGAAGGCCCCGGGCGCGGGTGTCCGGCGCCTCCCCGTCCCCCCTCCGTCCCCCCGGCTCTCTCCGGCTCCTGCCTCCTCCTCCTGCTCCTCTTACCGGTGGTACAAGCTCCTCCGTCACTGCTTTCGTTCGCGGCCCGGATCTCGCTGGAGTTTTATTCTCTCCCCCACGTAACACACCGCGTCAAACTACACCTCCGCCGCGTCACTCACCAACACTCCGCTTCTCCCTGCCGCCCGGGCCACAGGCAGCAGCAGCCGCCGCCGACTGAGGAGCCGCAGCCAGGGAGCCAGCCAGCGCCGCCCAGTGCCGAGTGCGCAGCGGCCGCGCACGGAAACAGCCGAGCTCGGCCCGGAGGAGCTCGAATGGCCCCGCCCTTCGCGCTGGGGGCGGAACTTACCGAAGGCCTTCGGGCTCCTTCGGGCGAGGCGAAGGGGTTCCGCCAGGAGCGGGAAGGCGAAGGTGGGCTGGGGCCAGCGTGGTGGAGGAGTGGTCTAAGTCCGCTCGGCTTCAGGACGGATAGAACCTGGCGGCGGAAATTTGAAAGAGGAAGTGGGGTTTGTGTGTGGCGGGGTGGGGAATTCCCGCGGGGTGTCGCCTCCTCGATGGAAACCCCCGTGCGGGCCTGCCCCTGCGGCGGTAAGCGGCGGTAAGCGGCGGGCTCTAGGGCGGCTGCGGCGGCCGGGCCTGGGCCCCGAAGCGCCGCCGGCCCGGGAACTTTCAAACGCTGCCGGGACGTGGGAGCTACTCCGCAGTGTCTGACGCGGCTGAGTGCAGGAGTCAGGAGAGGTGGGGAGGAAGGGCTGCTGCGGGGCTGCAAACGCCCCCGAAGCCGGGGCAGGGCCGGGCGCTGGGGCGCGAGGCCGCCACGCTGCCGCGGCGCGGGCCGTGGGCGTCGTGGGGCCCCCGTGGGGAGGGCTTTCCGCCTCACGGGGCTGGCCTGGCGGCCCCGCTTCGAAAATCAGCTGAGAAACCTGGCGGCGGTCGGCGGCGCTGTTCTATTTCGGGCGTGGGGGGTGGGGAGGCTCTGGGACTCGTGGCGTCTTGCGGGGCTCAGCTGGGCTGCGCGGGCATCCAGGGTCATCTTCGGCCCAGCCGGGCCTCCGAGCAATGACCTGCCCTGACCGAGGCTGCTCGTCGACACTTTCGAAGTGTCTTCCCTCCTCCCCCACCTGCCGCCTTTTTTCTGCCATCATCCTTTGTCGCTTTCTTTCCACAGCCCGTTTTGTACAGCAGTGGTTTTGCACCCACTGCACCCTTTCCTTGCACACCCACTCGGGCTCTAAACCCGACAGTGTGACTTCTGTTCCCTCGAAGCTACTGAAGCTGCTCTCTCAGAGGTCGCCCAAGTTCACGATACTGAAGTCATTCTCCTTTTTTTTTGAACTCTGCAAATCTCTCCCCGGGCTCTCAAGTCTTTTATAATTTTCTTTCTGGTCCCTTAAAGCAAATCTGTCTTTAGGAAGCGGATGAGACGGTCCAAACCTGAGCTCCGCCCCTTTTTGCCTGTTACAAAGAGATGCCCTCCGAGGTACTCTTTTATCTTTTTTACCTTCATGGTACTGTTGGTCCATCATCTGCTTTCTTAGGGACTTCGGGTTGAAGAGCATCCACCTTTCCTTCTGTTATTTTCAATCTTTCCTTCTCTACTGGCTTTCCTGTTTAGGATTTAAACATGTTTACGTCTCACATTTTTTAAAAAAGATTTCTCTTCTTGCATTCCTCTCCAACCATGACTTCAGTGGTCTGTTACCCCCTGGACATTCTGTCGTGTCCCAATTCTCAACCCCTCTAGTGGAGCTTCTGTGCCTGCCACTCACCTGAAGCAGCTCTGATTCGTTCCAGACAAGCTTCCGTCATCATCTTATGAGGCTGTATGTATTCTAGTATTTGACACTATTGACCACACCTTCATCCAGATATACTCTTCCCTCTGTCAAAGTTTCCCCCTCACCGCTCTGGTTGCTTTTTAACAACCAGCTTCTTGATCCCACTCTTAAATGTCGGAATCCCGCTGAGCTGAGCCCTCTTCTTGAGTCCCACCGCATACACTACACTCTCCTAGGTGGTCTCATCCTCTTCCGGTACTTTCAGATACTTTCTGCCAAAGACTGCCCATCCCATAACTCAAGCCTCGATCTCACTCTTTAACTGTAGATTCACATTCTAACTGCCATTACTGCAGTTTCATTTGGATGACTGGGCATGTCAAATTCAACCTGTATATCAGATTCCCTCCAAAACCCTCCTCCCATAGCCCTGGGATCAGTAAAGGGCACCCGATCCGTCAACTCATTTCAAGCCAGAAACCTAAGATGCCTCTGACACACATCAGAATCACCTAGACCTGTCTGCCTTAAAACATTGAATTTGTGGCCTCTCTGAATACCTATGACCACTTTTCCACACCCCACTCCAGTCTAAGTCGTATTCCTCCCTTGCTTGAAGCACTGCCGATAGCTACCATCCAGACCCTACAGTACTGCTCTTGGTTCATTCCAATTCATTTGCCATACTGAAGCCACAGTAATTTTAAACATACGAATTTGGGGCTGGCCGAGTGGCTCAGTTGGTTAAGAGCTCGCTCAAGAGTTTGAGCTCTGAGCAACAGTGGTTCGAATCCCGGCCCGAGCTGAGCAGCTGCTGAGCTGCCAACAGGTGGCAGGATGGCTCAGCTAAAAACAAACAAACAAACAAAAACATACGAATTTGATCAATTCACTACCCTGCTTGAATTCCTTCAGTGGCTTTCCTTTGCTTACTGAAAAGTCTAAGCTCCTTATGGTGGAAACCAGACCCTCCACCATCTGGGCTCGTCATTCTCCCTAGCCTCCCCAGCTGTCCCCCTAGCTTTGCACTCCAGCCATATTAGTCTTTTTATTTTTTCCAGGCTCCTTTCTCTTTTTTTCCCCTACTGTAGGCTCTCACCTCAAGGTATTTACACATGCCATTCCCTTCCCCTGGAATTCTTTTCTGCTACCCTCTCCCCCTACCTAATTGTAACATCATTTTCTGATTTATCATACCTGTAATTATTTGTATAGTGTCCACGTAAGGTCTGTGCAGGTGTGGACCAGGTCTGTCTTGTTCACCACCAGCTTTTCCCCTTCCCTTTGATCCCTAGCACCCACAATGTTTAGAATATAGTGGTACTCGTTACATATTTAGGAATAAATAATGAATATCTGTGTGGTTCCGGGACAAATTCCGTAATACTTTCAAATCCTGGTTCAAATCCTGGCTCAGTCACTTACTAGCTATGTGACTTTGGGCAAATTGTTCACTCTTGTGCCTTGGTTTTCCCATCTGTAAAATAAAGATGACAACATCACCTGTGTCATAGTGTTGTTGTGATAATTAAATGATATAATTCATGGAAAACACTTGGAACAATGTTTAATATATATTAGGTGTTAATTAAAATGTTCCCTGTTAACTAGCTTTTATTTGCATATCTCACCTTTGTATCAAATACATTTTAAAATTGAGCTTGTCATCTCCTGGCCTTTCTTCTTACCCTGGCCCTATACATGAAACCAAAATCTTGGCATTATTTACTCCTAGCCTATATTTATCACCCGCCAGCTATGGTAATTTTTTAATTTAAAATTTCCTCATGTTCTGCCTTTCTGTTCACAATGACCTTCGTTTAGGCTTTCTTTCTGTTTTAGTTACTTTGCTATCCTCCTAGGTGCTTTCTGACTGCAGGTCCACTTCCCCTGTTCACTTGTGCCCTAGTGTCAGTCCAGTGGGCCTCAGTTATTAAATCATGCATTCTCCTTGCCTTCTCTTCTCTTTTCACTTCACTTTGTTCATTCACTCATTCATTCAATCTTCCATTCAAGTACAAGTTATTTTACTAAACATTTTGAATATACTTCAGATTTGAAATTTAGTCTCCTGATATCATCATTCTGCTCTAGCATCTCCATAAACTATAGAAATGAACTAGGAATATTAAACTTTCAGCATCCGTTTTTTGTCTCTGAGATTTGGAAGATACCCCTGTTTTTGACACAATTTTTTATTGGAAAATTTGGTCAATATTGGGGAGATAATAGTAGAGAAGAACACATGGATATATCTTGACATAGTAATAAGTTAAGTGCCTCAAAAGAGGTCCAGAAAAGGGGGAGGGTCTCTTGAGATGATTATAAAAGATTCAAGGAGAAAATGATATTTGAGAACTTTTTTTCTAACCACGGCTTCCTTTTCCTGTTATTTTTATCTCTTACTTCTGCTGTTGAACCTAATTTTCACCCTCACTGCAAACTCAAGTTCCATGAACCCTGCCTATTCTCATGACTTAATTTGCTTTCCTACCTAACCTCAAGGCCATCGTGACTTCTCTTATTCTAAAAATATATGTTGAGTAACTGCTTTGTGCCATGCACTCTTAGAAATTGGGGATCAGTGCTATCTGATCAATGTTATCAGTGCTCATGAAAAAAATCTTGTGATTTGTACTTTCCAAGTATAATAGTTTTCCAAGAGAGAAGAGGAAAGCACTGATACGTTACAACTATTCCTGGTCTGTTTACCAGTTACTCTTCCCATGTAAATTAATATACCGTATTGCTTCTTAAAATTAATCTCTAACCATAATAACCAAAAAACACTCTTCCACTTCCTTCTCTAGCTACTGCTCCGTTTATTTTTGCTCTCTTTACTCTTTGCAGTAAATGTCCTTGAAAGAGTGCTCTATTTGCTGCCTCACTTCCTTTTCTTTCATTTTCTGTTAAATCCACTCCAACTAGCTCTAGCCATCACTAAAAGTGCTCTCCATGTTACTTAATTTAATGGCCTATACTCTGTCTTTATCTCACTTGACCAATCAGCAGCATCAGACACAGTTATCACTCCCTCCTCCCTGTAACAATTCTTCGCTTGTTACACTTGTTTCTTCAGTGTTACAGGACACTTCAGTCTCCTGGTTTTTGTCCTATGCTGCTGGTCATTGTTCTTAATCTCCTTTGCTCACTGACCTCTTAATATTGGAGTGTCCCAGGACTCTGTCCTTGGACCTCTTCTATTTCCCTCTCCCTTAGTGATCTCATTCAACCTTATGGCATTAGATATGATGAGTATGCTCACAACTCCCTAGTCTCAGATCCACACTTGTACATGTATCCAAGTACTCCAGCATCCCTACTTGGATGTTTAATAGACCTCTCCATTTTATTATGTCTAAAACTGAACCCTTCATTGTTCCTCCCCTCAAAAACCTTTATCTACAACCTTATCTATCTCAGTTCATTGCAACTTCATCATTCCCACTGGAGAGGCCAACTCAGCAACTCATTTATCCCCTCCCCCCGCCAATACTCAATCTGTCATCAAATCCTGTTGCTGTGTCTTCAAAATATATGACCACTCTTTCCATTTCCACTGATACCACCTTGGTTGAAGCCACTGTCACCTTTGACTAGGATTTTATATCAGCTACCTTTAACCTTCATTCTCTTCTCAGTATAGCAGCCAGAGTGAGCCTCTAAAACAAAGCCAACCACACCATGATTCTGTTCAAAAGTATCCAGGAGCTTTCCGTCTGAGAAAAAGAACAATTCTTACAGCTAGACCTACAAGACCCCATCTCCTCCCTGATCTCACTTCCCTTCTCCTCGCTCAGGCCTGTTGACCACCTTACTG